TGGGCCGGTTCTCAGTGTCCTCTGCCTTCCAGCCTGATGGCACCCTGCCGCACACCCTGACCAGGACTGGTAAGCAGGGCCTGGCCCGCTGTGTGGCTGCCCACTAACCTCCTGCCCACTAATACCCGCTCACCCTGGCACTCACCCCCACAGGGAGGCAGCCTGGGAAACCCAGCCCGGCACTCCCTCCAACCTCTCTGCTCTGCCCGCAGACTCCCCGGGGCCTGCCGGACCTCGCTCCCAGCTCTGAGAGGTCGCTGAAGCCTGCAGCTGGGCCTGGGCCTGGGCAGCCCCTCCTTTCCCTCCGCCCCGACCCTCAGGAGCCTTCTAATAAAGACCACCCTTGTTGCAGCTCCCGCTGTGTGAGCCCTGACTTGGTGAGGGAGGCAACCCACAGGTGTAGGCAGGGGCTCTGGCTCAAAGAGGCTGGTGAGAGCTCTCGGGGAGCTGGGTGAGGGAGGCACTGGCCAGACGATGGCAGAGGTGGGCAGCAGCACTTCACATTTATTGAGGGCCTGCCCCCCAAGGAGTTCACAGCCTAGGGACTGAGCCCCTACATGTGCTGGGGTGGGGGAGGAAAGGAGGTGAAGGCAAAAAGGCAGGCAATGCAGACACTGTGGCTGAAGCAAAGGGGGTGCAAAGCAGGCACAGGCAGGTGGGCAGGAGGATGGCAGCCTGGCAAGTCCTGCCTGGGGACCCGACTAAGCAGAGGCCTGAAGGCTGCCCTACTCCCACCAGCCCCTCCACCTGCTGAGCCAGGCCTCACCATCATGCGGGCCCTCTCTGCCCCGCGCTCCTTGACCATGCAGACCTGATGGAAAGCAGGCAGCTGGGGTCTGGGGCCCTGGGCAAGACAGCAGGATGGAGGTAGACCTATGGGGGCACAGCTTGAAGCCTTGATGGTCCTAGGTCCCTGGTTAAGTCCCCATGGAACTTCCACACTTCCATGGAAGCCCCTGGGCCAGCTAAGGAGGGAAGGAGGTTAGGCAGAATCCCAATAACCAGGAGGGGCCCTAAGAGGCCCAGCCCCTCATGACTGCTGCTGGTAGGGAGGCGTGAGGTGGACAGGTGAAAGGCCAAGAGGAACCCACCTGGGGGGGAGGGGGACAGCCAGACACATAGCATCCAGGCGGGCAGCAGCAGAGCAGGGACACGCACACAGGGCTCACCACCAGCATCCCCTTTAATAAAACGTGGAAGGTTGTATGACAGGGAAGGGGGGGAGTGAAATATGACCATTTACAACCACACAAAAACCTCTGTACATGTCTAGCGCCTGGCAGAGGGGAGGGCAGCAGGGCAGCGGCGGGCAGGGCCAGCCCTATTTGTAGAGGATGTCGTAGTGTCCAGGCCGGTAGAGAAGGTAGACCTTGGGCTCAGAGCCCTCAGGGAAGACGTGCGGGTTGGTGGTGCCGCCCTCGCCGCGGTCCATGTACTCCACCTGGATGGAGACGCTGAGTGCCTGGGCCAGCGCGATGATGTGGATGTGGTCGCTCTCCTTGCACATGGGCTCCACTTCCTATAGCATGGGTGCAGGTCAGGGCCTGGGTCTCCGCACCCCCTCCCCATGCCCCCGACCCCAGGACGCTCCCCACACTGAGGGGAGAGAAAAGGGAGGGCCCGGAATCTGAGAAGTGGAGTGCGGGTGGCACCTGCTGGCAGAACTCCTTGACCGTCCGCCCACCCTCGATGAAGTGCTCGAAGAACTTGCTCTCCCGCTGCAGGTAGCCAGAGGTGAGCAGCCGCAGGTAGACCACCAGGTAGTCTGAGGTGCTCTGGTCATTGAAGGAGGCCAGCAGGTCAGCTACTGAGATCTGCTTCTCCACCTGCTCTATCAGGTCCATGAACTGCCACAGGCAGGGAGAGAGGGGGAGGTAAGGCAGGAAATGGGTCAACCCCGCCATGGCCAGGCCACCCACCCTCCTCTGGCAGAGCAGGCAACAAGGCAGCTGGGCTCACCGTATTGTGGAAATCCTCAATTGTGAACTCAGTGAAGCCCTGGGACACCAGGTCTTCTTTGCTCTTGGCAGACACAGCCTTGAACCTAGCGGGAAGAGGGAAAGGGAGGTGGGCATGGGCTCCTCAGCCAAAAGAATAGGAGCCCAGCCTGTTGTCTGGCCTCAGGTGGAACTGTACCGCCTAGCCATCAAGAGGGAGGAGGGAGCCCTACCAGCCCTTCATGGAACTGTCACCCACCTACTTCAGTGCCCGAGCGCCCACCCTCCTCACCTCTGCAATTCCTTGCTGTCATCCAGCAGCGCCTCCAAGTGGGAGAACCCGAAAGCTCGATAGAAGCAGTTTCCATCAGGCCTGGTCTTGCGGATGTACGAATACTTTTTGTGGAGGTCCTGCAGAAAGGCATACCCCGCCCCACCCCGTGCCCATCAACATGAGGCCAGAACCAGGGCAGGCCAAGGAGCCACCTGACAAAGGTCATGCCCAGCAGTGGCAACTGAGCTCTAAGCAGCTACCTGCCATCCTTGGCTGCTGACTCTGGTGATGGGAGTCACCTAGTGACTCACTGCCCAAAGCCCCCAAAGCCTCAGGAAACCATGACTTATGTACATACTGGTTGCATGAGTCACCAAAGTAGTCACTAGCCACTGGCCACATCTTGCTCTATGTCAGTACCTAAAACACTGCCTGAACCTGCAGGGCTGTGCATAAAAACAGGCAAGTGAACCAGTCCTTGACCAGTGAATAGTCTTTCAAACCATGAGAGACCAAGGCAAACTGGTTAGGGTGGGGGTGCACCCAGCCCCCAGGTTGGGATGAGAAAGAGCTCCCCTCAGCTCCTCCTCAACCCTGTGCTGGTGGCTCACAGGTACCACCTGTGTGATGTCTTCCGGTTTCCTCCCCAAACGCCATAGACTTTCTTCTGTCGAACCTGCCCACACAAGTGGGCCATTAGTGCTTCCTGGTAAATGGGCCTCACTCCCTGGCCTGGGCACCCTCCCCTGCGCCCTGATGGCTACTTCGTACCTGCTCCATTCTCCTTAAACCCCCATCCCAAGGCACCTCCACACTCTCTTCCCCGTGGCTTATGGATCCTGCCCTCTTCTTGTCCTCATGCCTTACTCCCACTCCTCATCCCTCTAACCTGTGAAGGTCAGAGCCACCACCAAACCACAACACCGTTCAAGACACAGTGAGTCACCTCCCAGGAGATGGTCACGACACACAGCCATCCACAGTGACTGTTATGTGAATGGCACAACCCTGCTCAGGCCTGGCATAGCTTCCACTTGTCAACTCTCTTGATGTCATCGATCTTGGGATTTAAATGGCCTTAACTGTAACTCTTCGCCTGCCCCATCTCAGCCCTGAACTCCAATTTCAACTCATGCATCCAGCTGCCTCACCTACACCTCCGAACTACCCAGCCTGGCATGGCAGGTCCCGACTTCCCCATGCGCCTGCTCCTCTCAGCCTTCCCCTCCATCAACTACAACTCTACATTTCAGCTAAAAACCTCACGGTCATTGCCAACTTCTCCCTCACACCACATCCAATCCAATACAGATCCCTTTGGCTCTATCTTGAATGCATCCAGTATCAAGCACTTCTCACTACTTAACTCTCCCACCCTGGTCCCAGGCATCACTCCACTTCCTACTGGTTTTATTGCAAAACTTCCACCTGCGCTCAGCCCACTCTCAACCCAGCCACCTGAACCACCCAGAAACCTGTTGATACCCACCATCTTCCTTCAAGTCCTTTCTCTGGCTGAGCCCCGTCTCCCACCCTCTCCTGTTCCCCACTCTGCTCCAGCTGCACTGGCCTCCACGCCACTCCTCAAACCACCCTCACTCCTACCCCGGCCTCAGGCTGTACTCTCTGCCCAGGTGGCCACAACCTGCTCCAGTGCCTCTGTCAGGTCAGTCACTCAAACCCCACCTTCTCAGTTACCCCAGCTTATTGTCTGTCTGAGCTTCATGAGGGCAGGAGTTTGTCAGTGGTAGTCATCACTATTTTCAGTATCCAAAACAGGGCCTGGCCTACCATACATGCTCATAAATGTTAAGTCAACAGCTCCTAATGCGTACAAAGAGACCAAACCACTGTAGCTACCAGGAGTTACTAGAATCCTTCTGAGCACTTTCTCCACGCCAGGCCCTTTGCTAAGGGCTCGGGTCCGTTATCCTATTAATCCTCAGAGGGGCCCATTTCACAAAGCCACCCAGCTCTGCTTAGGCTCTGGCATCTAGGTGTAGGCGCCTCCCCAGGGGCAAAGGTGGGCGTAAGCACAGCAAAGACTGGGGGTGTCGGAGCTCCTGCACACACAGCATGCAGACACTTGAACATTTGCTAACTCGATGGGAAAGAACCCAAGACGCCCACCCTGTCAATCTCACCAGGGTGGCCTAAGTGTGACATGTAGGCCTTAAATAAGGGCCCCACTCCACTCACCAACCACATGGGGAAAAGACCTACAGCTTAAGCCTTGGCCATGTGCTACACACTAAGCTCAGCACTTGACCATTGTCATCTCCTTCAAGCCTCATGCTCGCCCTGGGAGGCAGTGACCTCTCCACCCAGGAATGCTCAGTGTGTTGTCCAAGATCACACAGCTGTAAGTGGTGAAGCCATGACTCAAACCCAGGTCTGTTGGACCCCAGAACCAGTGCCTTCATCTATCTCTCCACAAACCTTGGGTAAATCACAAACACCCTAAGCAAGGGGTCAGAGTAGACCACAGGCCACACACAGCTGGATCTGGCCTGCATGTGTGTTTCTGGTCCACACAACATTTTAAATTTGAACTAGCTGTCAGCTGTTAGGAACCTGGAGATCTCAAATCAAAATAATTTCTGGCTCGTCCTGGCCAGTGTTGCTCAGTGGTTAGTGTCAACCCAACCACCGAAGGGTATCTGTTCGATTCCCGGTCAAAGGCATGTACCTGGGTTGTGGTTCACTCCCTGCCTCTGGTCGGGCGCATATGCAGGAGGCAGCTAGTCAATGTGTCTCTTTCACATCAATGTCTCTCTCTGTTTCTCTCTTTCCCTCCCTCCCACCTTTCCGCTCTCTCTGAAAAAGCAATGGAAAAAAGTATCCTTGGGTGAAGATTAACAAAAAATACATAAGTAAAAAATAATAATTTCTGGCTTCTCTTGGAAAACAGATCCAACAACAATGGAGTGACAGGCATGGTCACTCCCATTTGCTCCAGGTCCTTCCACTCCCTGCTACTGGCTGATTCAGAGCTTCGGTGCCCACATTCACCATTTGACCTGGCCACCTTCAATCACCTGGGTTACCTTCCTGGCTCCTCCTTTCAGATGGAAGGTTCTAAGCATCTCTGATCTTTAGGGGAAGGGGGAGTAGCATTTACCAAACCCCCAGGCTGTGCCAATGGATACTATTTACACATACCCACTGCCACATTTCAGCCTCCCAGCTCACAGAGAAGTGAGTGGTTAAGGGACTTACATGTTTGTAAACGAAGCAGCAGGACCTGGCACAAAGGTCTGTAGGCCTCTTTTCCCCACTGCTGCCTGCCTCTCCACAAAGATCCGGGAAGCAGGCTATAGGTCATACCCCTGCCCCAAGCCTCTGC